AAGCTGTGGAAACTTTTTTTTCCCTCATTCCCCTCATCCTCCAAATTTCATTTGATGCAATTTTTTATTAAATTCCTTTTCATTATTTACTTTCCTATGACTTTGTATGTATTTCTTCCAGCTTATTTACATAATGTGCACTTTGTTTTTTTATTTTTATTTTTTTTTAAGGGACAAGCTCTTACTCTGTCACCCAGGCTTGAGTGCAGTGGTATGAGCTCAGCTCATTGTAGTCTCAGACTCCTGGGCTCAAGTGATCTTCCTGCCTCAGCCTCCTGAGTAACTGGGACTACAGGAATGTGCCACCATGCCCAGCTAATTTTTTTGTTTTTTAATTTTTGTAGAGATAGGTCTTACTATGTCACTATGTTGTCCCTGCTGGAACAGTTCCTTTCTTTAATAACTTTATTTTTCTTTTTTTTTGCTTCTGGTCCTTGATTCAGGGAACATTATTTTTCATGATATGAACAATCATGTTTTTTTTATTTTTTCAAGTAGCTGAATTTTACATGTAGTTATTACTAATTCAGTTCCGGTCTTTCGAAGGGAAATACTGAACTCTTCTTGATAAAAAATGGGACATGAAGTTCCATTTTTTCCTTAGAGATGTCTTTCTTGATAACTTCATCCTTCCTTTTGTCAGAACTCATTGCTTTAAGCCTACTTCACTTTCCTTTAGCACCCCTCCCTGCCCCTGGTCCTGTAATTCCAGTGTCTCTTTCATCTGAGAGGTTCTCCTCACCTGTCTGGCGACCCTTGCTGCTTGTTTTCATTTAAGAGTGAGGCAGGAACACTGGTAGACCTCACTGCAGAGTGATGAGGAGGAACCCCTGACATTCCACAGGGAAGCCTGTCCCCCAGATGTTATATCTGCAGGTCTGTTTCCTCCAGTCTCCTGCTTGGAGAGAGGGCTGAGTCTGGGGCCAAGGGAGGTGAAGTGCTGAACTGTGGATATCTCAGTTCAGCACTCAGACTCTCATTTAACTAGTTTTCAGCACACTGCTCCTCCCAACTCTCAGCTGTGCTTTGTACCCTTTTAGTGAGAAAGAGGAGGAGGATTGTGCTATCTGGGGAAGGTGATTGGGGTCTCACTACACCTTTTGTTTTAAAAAAAATTCTTACACCATGGCCTGTCCTTCACAGCCTCCACATAATGCTTTCAATTTCTAAGGCTTCTTGTGGTTTTTGTTGGCTCCCAGCCACCCCAAGCCATGAGGTTTTAGTGCTATCAACAATCCCTCTGGCTTTTTAGACTTCTTTAAACTGCCAGAATCCCTCTCACTTCTTTATAATTTATCTAACTATTTTGCAGAAAAGAGATGAATTATAGTGGCCATTTTAAAAACCCAAGAGTATTCTGGCCTTTTTAAAAAAAGATGAGAGAAAGAAAAAAGGAAAAAGGAGGGGACACATTGACGTATAATTTACACTTTAGAGCATATATACTGCAAACAAATGCCACATTTTCTACAGTCATGTCTTATGACTCCAAGCAGTTTTCTCAAGCCTAAATTAAGGGTAACATTGTAGATATAACTTTTTTTTTTTTTTTTTTGAGACGGAGTCTCGCTCTGTCGCCCAGGCTGGAGTGCAGTGGCGCGATCTCCACTCACTGCAAGCTCTGCTTCCCGGGTTCACGCCATTCTCCTGCCTCAGCCTCCCGTATAGCTGGGACTACAGGCGCCTGCCACCGCGCCCGGCTAGTTTTTTTTGTATTTTTAGTAGAGACGGGGTTTCACCGTGTTAGCCAGGGTAGTCTCCATCTCCTGACCTCGTGATCCGCCCGTCTCGGCCTCCCAGAGTGCTGGGATTACAGGCATGAGCCACCGCGCCCGGCCGATGTAACTATTTTAAAAAGACTATTTGACAAGAAGAAAGTCCTCAATTCCTTTGTAAATGGCAAGAAAATGTAGCACGGGAAATTCGTCATTTTTTGATAGAGTAAAATGAAGTTTTAATTCTTACTAAATGATTACTTAGCTGGCAGGTTCTTTGTTTATTATGTATGTCTGGCTTCTTATTGGCAAAAAAAAAAAAAAGCAATGTATAATACTAGCCTGAAAAAACAAATTATGTTTTTGGCCCAAGTGAGAAGCCGATACCCTGGTTGAAGAAAAATCACGTTTTCTTGTTGTTCCATATTTTCCTTGATCAAAGCTGGGACTTACGTTGTATCTGTCTTCACTCTCCTTAGTAACCTACTCATCTGTCTGCTTTCATCTTACACAATTTTATTGGCATTGTTAACTTAAGAATCATGAGATTTATAAATTTAGAATGGAGACTATTTCTTTTTTTGAATTATTTTATTTTAAATTTTTGTGGGTACATAGTAGGTATATATATTTACGAGATATTTTCACACAGGCATACAATGCCTAATAATCACATCAGGGTAAATGGAGTATCCTTCATCTCAAATATTTATCCTTTCTTTGTGTTACAGACAATCCAATTATACTCTTTTAGTGTTTTTAAATGTATAATAAATTGTTGTCTGTAGTCACCTTGTTGTGTTGTCAAATACTAGATCTTATTCATTCTATCTAACTATATTTTTGTATCCATTAATTATCCCCACGCCCCTCCTGCCCCACTATTCCCTGCCACCTTTCCCAGCTTCTGGTAACCATCTCTATTTCCATGAGGTCAATTGTTTTAATTTTTAGCTCCCACAAGTAAGTGAGAACATGCAAAGTTTGTCTTTCCGTGCATGGCTTATTTCACTTACCATAATGTCCTCCAGTTTCATCAAAGTTGTTGCAAATGACAGAATCTCATGGCTGAATAGTATTCCATGGTGTATATGTACCACTTTTTCTTTATCCGTTCATCTGTTGATGGACACTTAGGTTGCTTCCAAATCTTGGTTATTATAAACAGTGCTGCAACAAACGTGGGAGTACAGATACCCTTTGATATTCCGATTTCCTTTCTTTTGGGTTTATACCCAGCAGTGGGATTGCTGTACCATATGGTAGCTATATTTTTAGTTTTTTGAGAAACCTCCAAACTGTTCTCCATAGTGGCTATACTAGTTTACATTCCCTCCAACAGTGTACTAGGGTTCCCTTTTCTCCACATCCAGCAAGCATTCATTTTTGCCTGTCTTTTGGATAAAGGCCGTTTTAACTGGGGTAAGATGATATCTTATTATAGTTTTGATTTGCATTTCTCTGATGATAGAGATGTTGAACACCTTTTCATATGCCTGTTTGCCATGTGTATGTCTCCTTTTGAGAAATGTCTATTCAAATCTTTTGCCTATTTTTTTAATCAGATTAGATTTTTTTCCAATATAATTGTTTGACCTCCTTCTATAGTCTGGTTATTAAGCCCTTGTTGGATAGATAGTTTGCAAATATTTTCTCCCATTCTGTGGGTTGTCTCTTCACTTTGTTGATTGTTTCCTTTGCTACGTAGGAGCTTTTTAAGTTGATGTGATCCCATTTGTCCATTTTTGCTTGGGTTGCAAAATGTGATTGTGAGATATTACTCAAGAAATCTTTGTCCAGACTGATATCCTGAAAAGTTTACCCGAGTTTTTTTAGTAGTTTCATAGTTTGAGGTCTTAGATTTAAGTGTTTAATCCATTTTGATTTGATGTTTGTATATGGTGAGAGACAGGGGTCTAGTTTTATTCTTCCATATATGGATATCCAGTTTTCTCAGCGCCATTTGTTGAAGAGACTGTTCTTTCCCCAGCATATGTTCTTGGCACCATTGTTGAAAATGAGTTCATTGTATAAGTATGCATTTGTTTCTGAGTTCTCTGACCTCCTTTGGCCTGTGCATCTATTTTTATGCCAGTACGATGCAGTTTTGGTGACTATCATTCTGCAATATACTTTGAAGTCAGGTAATGTGATTCCTCCAGTTTTCTTCTTTTTGCTCAGGATGACTGGCTATTCTGGATCTTTCATGGTTTCATGTATATTTTAGGATTATTTTTTCTATTTCTGTGAAGAACAGTGACTGCTATTTTGATATAGATTGCAATGAATCTATATATTTCTTATAAAGGGTTACAGTCTTCAAGCTGGCCGTTCTGACAGGCACTTCGAGAAAGAGAGGAGCAAGACAGGAATCTAAGCTGAACTGTTTGGCCAAGTATACATATTCAGGTATACATATGTAACAAGTTGTAGGAAGAGCTATGAACATTCATGAAGTGGGTTCTAACATGCGTATTGAACAAACATGCACGTTACAAATGATCCATGTTCACTTTGGGGTGGAGACTTAACATATAAATGCATTATAATTAGGCCCTTATTATATGTCAGAAGGTGAAGCAGTGACTTGAAGGCATTCATGTGTATAGCCTCTGTAAACAGTCCAGAACCACATCATAGTCAGTAGTCTTATGAGGATAAAGTTACTGAAGTCAGTCTCTTGTCCAATCAAAGCTCTAGTTATGGCATGGGGAACAGGAAGGTCAGTTATTCAGCATCTGTTGGCGAATACGCCGTAATTATTTTAAAATTGCTTATCTTGAGGACAATGTTTGTTTAACTGTTAGAGAAAAAAGAAAAACCTTGTGACTGTTAGAACATAGTTTATTCTTTAAGTAGAGAGGTTTGTGACTTCACCCTTGCCTGGCATGGCCCTAGGTTTTGTTTATAGTTTGGTATCTTATTGCCACAAAGAGTCCATTCTGTCAGTCTTATGATCTGTATTTTAATATTAATGCTGGTCAGTTGTTGTGTCTAAACCACAAAAGGAAAGGGGTATAATGAGGCATGTCTGACCTCCGATCCCATCATGGCCAAGAACTTAGTTTTTAAGGTTTCTCTGGGGTCCCCTTGGCCAAAACGGGTCTGTTCAATCAGTTGTGGGTGGTGTTTAAAATTTTATATTTGGTTTACAGCATCTAATTTTTCCTTTACTGTCATGTTAGTAGGATTTCACGATAAAATCCTGTTTTCAATCTTCCATATTTATCCAGAAGCCAAATATGAAATTTTCACTATCTAAAATTTTCCTTTTTTATCATGAAGGTTTGACTGATATTACAAAGGATCCAGACTTTAATGAAATCTATGATGAAGACGTGAATGAAGATCCAACATATGATCCCAATAGCCCTGAAGAAACAGCTGTATTTATGAAATATGCTGAAAATATTATGCTAAAGTTAACATTCAGTACCACACAAGTTCAACAGTATGAAAATGTCTTTATATTTGAAACAGGCTATTGGCTTACTAATGCTATAAAATATAATCAGGATTATCTTGATATCTGTACCTACCAGAGACTACAGCAAAGATTATATCTTCAGAAAAAGATTATTCAAAAACACTTTGAGAAGAAAAAAGATATCAGAAGAGGGATAGGATACCTAAAGTTAATATGTTTTCTGATTCCGTTTCTACTGAGTTTAAAGAAGAAAATGAAAGTTCCATATTTAGGTAGTCTGCTTCAGCCTTTTTCAGGTAAGAGTATCACCAAAAATCAAATATAAAATATAGGTATATATTAAATATATGTTTAAATGCAATTTTGTTTCTAGTATATGGGTGCAGGCAGTAACCTAGCTATAACCTGTTAGAAAGAGAAAACAAACAAAATTTAATGTCTCTAATGTAATTAAAAACACTCAGCGTATGTACATAGTACTTTGTATATATTTATACCAATTATAAGGACTTCTGAAATATTTAAAATAAGTTAAAATAAAATAAGTTATGTATGAATAGGGAAATATGCCATATCCATGATGGGAAAACACTGTGAATGTATCATATCTCATTCAAATTACTCTATAAATTCAGTGTACTTCTATTCAAAATCCTGATCATATTTTTCACTGAAGTTTACACACTTACTCTAAAATTAATATAGAGCAGCAAGGGGTTGTTAATGATCTTTCATTTCTGAAAAATAGATTGAAACATATTAAAACTACAGTAATTAAATGAGGGTAGTATTGGCACTTTAATAAACAAATAGAGCAATGTAAGAGAATAGAGAGCTGAAACAGGCCATGATTAATGGAATTTGATGGGACTTCAGTATAAACTCTTCATTCTACACTGATTAGCACACAATTTATACATTTTCATTGCTTTCCAAGCATGTAGGCTTATTATAATGGACTTTCTATTCAGATGGCAACTTTTCAGCAGAAATTTTGCAAATTCTTTAGTGAAAGTTTGTATCATGAGAATTCAGGTGCTGAAGATATCAATATCTGTGAACTATTAGAAATGGAATCATGACAGTGCCTGGCTCTTGGGTGGTGGGGAGCATGTATAGAACTGAGAGGGACTTGCTTAAAGAGAATGTTAGCTATATCTGCAATATCTTATTACTTAAACTATGGGAAGCAAATAGGACTAATGTTAATAGTTAATTCTAGGTGCTGAGATCAGGGTGTATAGTGTATATTATTGTTTGTACTTTTCTTTACCTTTTATATTTCCCAAAATACATTATGTCCCTTATGTTGAGGAAACTATATTCTACTAACCAGTCAAAATATTGAAAAAACCTAGCCTTTGCTGGAATTTGAGGAAAGAAATTTTTTTGAGGCAGAGTCTTGCTCTGTCGCACAGGCTGGACTGCAGTTTCATAATCTTGGCTCACTGCAACCTCCACCTCCCAGGTTCAAGCAATTCTCCTATCTCAGCCTCCCAAATAGCTGGGATTACAGCCACCCGCCACCACGCCCAGCTAATTTTCTGTTTTTAGTAGAGACAAGGTTTCACTATGTTGGCCAAGCTGGTCTCAGACTCCTGACCTCAGGTGATCCGCCTGTCTCGGCCTCCCAAAGTGCTGGGATTACAGGCATGAGCCACCATGCCCAGGAGAGATAATTATTTTAAAAAATAAGTTATCTGTGTAGTTTCATTACCTTCCAGAAATACAGGATGGTTATTTCTGTATGTGAGATATACCCATCTATGTCTTTATAATGTCTCTTTTTACCTAAACTAGCTGAGATAAGTTTTTGTATATTTAACCAAAGATTCTCTCAGGCACAGAGTTTCTGGTCCTTTCTTATAATTGGGAGTAAGGTATTAATCTTGAGCTCACAATAAATCGAGAACTAGAACAATGTTTTGAGCATACTTTTGAAATGTCTGTACAATGAAACTACAGAAAGTGCTCAAAATGTAAATATATTTTATATATACATATATATGAATATATTTTATATATACATATATGTATATATTTGAGATATATATAATATATATATATGGTAATTGACTGAGGGCAGTATTGGCACTGTAATATATATATTTGAGACAGGGTATCACTCTGTCACCCAGGCTGGAGTGGAGTGGCATGATCTCAGCTCACTGCAGGTTTTACCTCCTGGGCTCAAGTGATCCCCCCACCTCAGCCTCCCAAGTAGCTGGGATGACATGCGTGCGCCACCACATCCAGCTAGTTTTTGTATTTTTAGTAGAGACGGGGTTTCACCATGTTGTCCAGACTGGTCTTGAACTCCTAGGCTCAAGCGACTTGCCCCTCTCAGCCTCTCAAAATGCTGGGATTATAGGCATGAGCCACTGTGCATGCCCAAAAATATATTTTAATGTTAAAATATTTATATACATTAACAGCAAAAATAATTTTATGCACTATAATTGCCAAGATTTTAATTTCATCTGAAATTTTCCTACTTTGTTTACATGAATGAGAAGTTAGATCTCTTAAAATATGATTGTTTTTGTGTTGTTCACTTTTTAAATAAAAATTTGTTTTCATTTTTGGAGATGACAAGGTCAAGACAGAGCGAGAATTGCCTCCATTTATTTATGGAAGAGATTTTAAATGCCAGAATTTTCACTACAAAGAGAATCAATATTTTCATGTTCATGGAGGAATTGAATTTGATATCAGCACCCCTTCAATTGAGAATGCCTTGGAAGATTTTCAGGTTTAAATGATTCCTTAGACAGTTTATCATTTCTCAACTCTTTTATCCTATTATCCAACCAAAAAGAGCCTCTGTTGATACAGGCACTAGACAGCTTTCCAAATGATTATTCTCACAACTCAATAATTTTTTCATACATTATTTTAACATAAATGAATTAAGTGCAGATATATGTAAGGTACTGTGTTGGATATCTGAGACAAAATTATAAATAAGCTAGGTACATCTATCATCCTCACAGAATTTACAGACTTCTAATGGACCATATTTGTCCTAGAATAGGTAACCGAAGAGTGCAGTAGAAATCTCTGGACACTCAGTACACATTCTTCCATTTTCCTCAAAGAATCAAGATTAGAACAGAGATCCTTTAAAATTTTGGAACAGTAATTCTTCACCTGGAATTTAGTATAAAAATTCTACATTTCAATTGTTATTGCTTTTCTGCCTTCTGTATACTATATGTCTGTCTTTTAGTATTTTTTCCTCCTTCTCAAAGTAGGGATTAGATATATGTAGCTGCTATCCGGGTCTTCTGGAATAGTAAATTTAAAATTTGTCATTTACATGTATACTATTTCATACAAAGAATTATTATAATTGTTTAGATGTGTCTAAGGATATGTCTTTAGTAACATACTCATATTTTAGAAAAATTTAGAAAAAATACGAGATTGTGCTGCTAATACATTCATAGAAGATTCAGGATATAAAGAATATTACTCAATACCAGTCATGGAATTTCATGGAAAAAGGTAAGGAACTTTTACTAATTACTGACGCTAGCTACAGTTTGTTGAAAGTTAGTAGAGAACAAAGAAAACGACAAAATGCAAAGGTTAATTTAAACCTTTACAATGGCGATTCCAGAATAATAACCACCATGAATGACATATGGACTCAACAAAGTATTAAATGTTATAGTTATTACTTCATGTATTTGGTATAGTCGGTGTAATAATCCTTAGAGTTTGTAATTAGTTCTTATAATTAACAGAGTGGTTAAACAGGGATAGAGATGAGGATCAAATCCCAGCATTTTTTGTCTTTTATGTGTTGTGTTCTTGGATTTTTAAATCTTGGACACTGAAATTTGGAAATATGGGAACTAGAGCTCAGAGGAAACATTTTAATTAGAGGCAAAGATTTAAAAACAAATAAGGACGTTTTGCTTGTTGGTTCGTTTGTTTGCTTTTAAGGCATGCAAGCAGTTGAGAGGATAGGACCAAGTCTGGAGCTTTGGAGAATAGTAACTGAGATGGGAGGATAGCTTGAGCCTAGGAGTTCGAGACCAGACTGGGCAACATAGTAAGACCCTATCTTTGTTTTTGTTTGTTTGTTTGTTTTTGAGACAGAGTCTTGCTCTGTCACCCAGGCTGGAGTGCAGTGGTGCAATCTTGGCTCACTGCAACCTACAGCTCCTAGGTTCAAGTGATTCCCCTGCCTCAGCCTCCTCAGTAGCTAGGATTATAAGCATGTGCCACCACGCCTGGCTAATTTTTGTATTTTTAGTAGAGAAGAGGTTTTGCCATGTTGGTCAGGCTGGTATCGAACTCCTGACCTCAAGTGATCTGCTCATGTCAGCCTCCCAAAGTGCTGGGATTACAGGCATAAGTCACCATGCCTATTCATAAGACCCTATCTCTACAAAAAATTTAAAAGTTAGCCAGGCTAGGCGGCACATACCTGTTGTCACACCTACCCAGGAGGCTGAGGTGGGAGGATCTCTTGAGCCTGAGAGGTAGAAGCTGAAGCGAACAGTGATTGCGCCACTGCACTCCAGCCTTGGTAACAGAGTAAGACCTTGTCTCAAGAAAAAAGAATACTGTATTTACAGCAATAAATAGTTGCATTTGGAGGAGAAACCCAGGTAATATTAAGAGGCTTACCACTGACGGAAATAGGTCAGCAGCTGAAGTATTTACCGCTGAAATCTGGGCATGGGAAAGGTACCTCATGGGGGGAAGGGGAGGAAGGTGGTCGTTTTCCCTCACCTGTGATGATAAGCAAACCCAGGGAACAGAGTAAGTCAACGTTTTATCAATTTTCCATTCCAGAGTGATAGGGATCAGGGCTGTGTCAAGCCCTACCTATGTTCCAGGGACCTGGTAGGAGGGGGGTTTCTCTAGTCCACTGCTGCAGTGAGTAAAAGCCAAGGAGCCATTACCCAAAGCATCATTCCAGATCACATTCAAGGTAAATTCTTGAGGAGCCAAATATAGACATAATTAGCTTAAAAGAATAAGAGGTAGGTAAGCAGACAGAACTTCAGCCAGAGTTAGGCCTTCCAGGAACTTTTAGACATTGCCCCAGATCACTGTCATGGGAAAGACAGAGGCAATACAATATGAAGAAGGTATTTTTATATAAAGACTTGATTAATAACAGTTGATAATGATATTATTAATATACTTACAGTTGAGTACAATTTAAACTACCATTTTGTATTTAATTGTTACAGAAAAATAAAAGTTTTGCCAGCATAGAAAGAGAAGTAGCAAATCACTTCAAAGTTAGAGAAACATCTTTTTTTCTTTATTTTTTATAGCTACTATGTGATGTATTTTGAACTTGAAACTTTCTATCAGCAACTATATAAGACACAGTGGTGGGGAGCCATAAATGAAATAATGAACAATCTGAGACCAAAAAGACTTCCACTGACAGATGCTCAATTACACGAGCAATTTAAGAAAAAATTTGGTTTCAAAAGAGCTATGAAATGCAAGGTATTTCAGTGACTACCACATAATTTAGTATATGAAGTTATATATTATTGATAAGTATGTGTCTCAGATGTTTATCCTAGGGATAATAATAGGTTAAAGTCTTCAATATGAAATAAAATGCCACATTTTAGTAGCTGAAAGGCTATATAATTCTGGATTATAAATTTCTGTCAGAGTACCTGTTAATGCACTGGATTGTGATTAATCTCAATAATGGCTCATACTTATTGATTACTTATTTTTTATGTTAGGCAGTGTTATAAATCAACAAACTCTTTTAAGGTATGACTAGTTCTATTGTTATCATTCCTGTTATACAAATGAGAAACTTGAGGTGTAGAGAGGGATCTTTCACAAATCGTATAGTAAATGGCAGAGCCAGGCTTCAATCCTTGAACTAAAACCTAAAGAGCAGACCTAGCATCCTGAATCAAATCTCCGCATCTGTTTCAACAAGCCTTGAAGTACAGCTTCTGGAACTGAGCAATGAAGCTCACCAGCTTGAAAGGTTAGACTGGTATTTACTTTCCATTTATTTGTTTTCACGTCCACAAATTGAAAACTCAAAAATTTGTTAGTTGAATTTTTAAATGTTAGTCCGAATGTCTCAAGAAGGTGACATTTTTACCTTTTGATGATAAACTGTATTTCTATAGCTATATATTTCAAGTTTCTAGACTTCTAAATTAGGTTTTTCTTAAATCAGAGAAGGAACCCAATGATCTTCATTTGCTTTTAAAATATTTAAGAAAAAAATTAAAATAATAATAAGAAAAATTCCCCAAAATATTTTTAAAATTCTTAATATTTGCTTATAGCTCTAACAACTTTAGTCATTATCCAGTAAGAAACTTTCCACGCGTGGATCTTGTGAAAATTCTACTTAATTTTCGCAGCATTCATGTGATTTTGTTAATATATTTCATGTCTTTTTTTCCTTAAACCAGACTTTAAGTGCATTTTGATAAACTGATTCTGGCCTTGTTAATTTTAGAGTATTCCATTTGGTATGAAGTCCGCTGTTGAAAGAGGGTTGTCTGCAGTTTTCCATACATTTAGCCGTAAAACCTCAAGCTCAACAATCAATGTTTCAGATGAAGCAGGTTATACTATTTTTCATCATGCTGCCCTGCACAACAGAGTTTCTATTATATGTCAACTGTGCAATGCTAACTTCAAGGTCAACCAGAGGCGCTTTGTTACGTTCGGCCAAGGTACCATAAAGCTTTTTAACCTAAAATGTTGTTATTTTATTTACCCTTACTCAGCATTAGGAATGCATGTCGATTTTAGAGCAGGTTAAAATTTGGTATTAATTAGAGCAAAGTTGAGGTTTTTGTTTCATTTATCTAAGAAGGGCTCCTTTTAGTTTTCTAAGTACCACTTATAACTATCTTATATAATTTTATATTTGTTCATTGCGTCTCCTTCATTTGAGTATAAGCTCTAAAAGAGGGCAAAGATTTAGCCTACTTTATTTGCCTTGGTATCCTAGCGTCCAGATGAAAGCTTGGCTTAATGGTTGCTCAGAAAGTATTTGTTGAGTTAATGCATGGATGGGTGAAGGCAGGATATCATTTGATAAGGGCTGGCAAAATTAATATACACTGATATACTATAGAAATTCAGAGAACAGCAATAGATATGACTGTCAGGTCCCAGTAGAACAATCATTCTTTATTCCAGGATCCTCAAACAGGGAATAGTTTCTTTATATTACATATATTTAAATTACATTTAATAACAAAAAATTTCTTTATAATAATAATGTTTAGCATTAATAGCCCGTTAAGGTTAACCTCATTTAAGCTTTAAAAGCTATTTTTGTGATTATTAAATATGCATGGACATTTTATAGTCATTGAAATAAATTTAGCTAGAATAAAAACAAATAAAGTTGACAATGAAATTGGTGGCCCTGCATAACTGGAAAGGAAAATATAGATAAATTGTCAGGGGTAGGTGTAGTAGCCCACTGCTGTCATGCCAGCACTTGGGGACGACGAGGCTGGAGGATCACTTGAGACTAGGAGTTCAAGATGAGCCTGGGCAGCATAACGAGAACCCCCTATAAAATTTTTTTAAAAAAAACCTAGCCAGGCTTGGTGGTACATGCCTGTAGTCCTAGCTACTCTGAGAGGATGAAGCAGGAAGATTGAGCCTAGGAGTTTGAGGTTACATATATATGTACATATTTATGTAAATTGTCAGGAATGGCCAATGCAACAATATTGGCAATAAGAAGTGGTGATTTTATATTTAATGAAGTCAGCTATCTTAATAAGCTATGTTAAATTTTTACAGACACCAAAACAAAATGTTGTGCTTTAACCATATTGAATATCCATAAATTCTGTACTCTATCAGTATGATTAAAACATTTTGATATTCAGATTCTTCTGTTACTGAAAATATTCAATACATAATACATAATGAACCTAATTAAAATAAGACACAATTCAATCACATTTAAATGCAATAGGTAACACTATTTAAAGATGTATTACTTTAAGCCTTTTTTAGTGTGGAAAAAGTCTTTGGTAAATTAAAAGTTTCTCATGCGCCCTTTGACTGCTTCAGTTTCCATTTGCTGAGAATTGGGTAGATTTTGAAGTGTGGAAAACATAATACTCTACTGCCAATATTATTGCTTAACCAACACCAATTGTCCCACCTGTGAGTTTTAAGCAGCCATTTGGGGGGGCAGAGTTTCCAGGTCTGCTTTTATGCGTTGTCAGGTGCATATGACATGCCTGGATGACTTGACCAAAAGTTATTCTCAACACCGTTTGATGTAATCTTGCCAGATACATCTACATAGTCATTTTGTTCTTATTCATATGAGTCTTCTTGAACAACTTAGGAAACCGCTGTATATTAATAATCATACTTCTATGTGCATTCCCTTTTAAAACAGAGTCATCCAAAGTAGAAGTAAAAAAGGAAAGAAATGGTAAGACATAAATAAAATATTTGGTGCATTTAAAAAGGCTATTGCATATATTAGAACTTTTCTTATAGTATATAATCTCCAAAATGCTGTTGCATCAGAATGTTGCATAATGATGTTTTGTATTCATTTTGAAGTATAAATTACTTTCTACTCATAGTTATTTATTGATACTCCTCTTCAGTTTGGGGAGTTTTCTCTTTTTTTTTTCCTGTGGAATTTGCTGTCACCTCTATTTTTTATGAATTCAGGCCCAAAAGTGGTTTCTACAACTTAAAAAAAGAAAAGTTATTATCATATAATTTAGATATGCTGCCGTCTAGTGGCATTAACAATCTATGAGGTCTGCGGAATGAGTCATTTTTGACTGAGGTAGTAGACTTAACCTAAATGTTGGATACGGAGAAAAACAAAATTTTAAGAGGTTATACTTTCTGTGTCTATATTTAAGAGGCTATACCTTCGCACTCTGTATAAGAGAATTCAAAAAGGCTTTTGTTTTGAAGAAACTACTTTCAGTGACCTGAATTGTCAAGGGGGAGGGGATAGTTACTTAAACTGGCCATCTTCCGTTTGAGGAGGAGCACAGCAAACCTGAGATGACTTCAGAGAGGGAGCCCGACCTCATTCTTCCTCCTCCAGTCTCCTGCCAGGGCTACCCATTGGCAGATACTGACAAGGAGCCAGAGGACAGGGGTTGCTTTTTCTGCAGGTGCAGGAGAGCCAGAGTGGTAAAGGAGGTGAGTGGACCTGGAGCGGGATAAAAGGAAGCTTACCTGTCCCATCCACCCTGTAGAAATTTCCAGTTAAGTAACAATAGTGTGCCTCCTACATTATTGCTCTCTCTTTTTCTTTTCTAAGTATCACTTATGGCTACCTTATATACATTTATTTAGTTAGTTAGTCTCCCTCACTTGAGTATAAAGCTCCATAAAGGACAAGGATTTGGTCTATTTTGTTAGCCAGTTTCCTAACACCCAGAAAAACACTTGGCCTTCATAGGTGCCCAGGAAACTTTTCTTGAGGGGTGTACATTTTATTGGAAACCTTAAATACTCTTCAAACAGAACATGTCTTCAATTAAGGCTCTAAGGTAGTCTACACAGAAAACCGAAGTTTTTCAGACTGGGGCAAGGAGAGGGACAGTATAGAGGACAAGTGCTTAGTTTGCCACAAGGACCCCTCATGATTAATGCTCCTCAGCCAGCTTATCAGCTTCCTTCTCCTTTTTAGGGTTTTTTTCCTCCTATCTTAGCATATTCATTATACTGCTTTTTACATTTTTGTTTTAGTGATTGCCCTAGAGTTTACAACATTAATTTATAATTATTCCAAGTCTACTTTCACATGACACTAAGCCACTTCACAGATAGTGTAAGTACCTTATAATAACAAAATATTCCTAAGTCTTCCCACCTATCATTCATTTACTCATTTCACTTGTGCATAAGCATATATATGTCATGCATTTCATAAATGTCATTCATTTCACTTATGCATAAGCATATATAAGTATATATCTATATCTATATTCAAACCCTTTGTTGATAATGTTGTTATTTATTTACTTATTTTGAGATGGGATCTTGCTCTGCTGCCCAGGCTGGAGTGCAGTCGTGCGATTTTGGCTCACTGCAACCTCCGCCTCCCAGGTTCAAGCGATTCTCTCATCTCAGCCTACCGTGTAGCTGAGATTACAAATGTGCACCACCACACCCTATATATTTTGTATTTTTAGTAGAGACAGGGTTTCACCATGTTGGCCAGGCTGGTCTTGAACTCCTGACCTCAAGTGATCCACCCACCTCGGCCTCCCAAAGTGCTGGGATTACAGGCGTGAGCCACTGTACTGGGCATGATAATGTTATTTTGAACAAACTGTTATCTGTTAGCTCAATTAAGACAAAGAGAACATTTTACTTGACCTTCATTTTTTTTTATTCTCTGATGCTCTTCCTTCCTTTATGTATATGTAAGTTTCTGACCTATATCATTTTTCTTCTCTTTGGACAACTTCTTTTAACATGCCTTGCAAGGCAGGTCTACTGGTGGTAAATTCCCTCAGTTTTTGTTTGAGAAAGTCTTTATTCCTCATTCATTTTTGAAGGATAATCTTACAGGTTACAGAATTCTAGATTAGTGGTTCCATTATCTCAACACTTTATTTTTTCCTCCACTCACTTCCTGCTTGCATAGTTTCTGAGGAGAACTTGGGTGTAATTCTTATTTTTGCTTCTCTATTAGTAATGTGTTTTACTCTGGCTTCTTTTAGAATTGTTTTCTTTTTAAAATAATTTTTAATTTCTGTGTGTACTTAGTAGGCGTATATACTTGGAGTATATGAGATTTTTTGATACAGGCATGCAATGCATAATAATTACATCAGAGTAGAGTATCCATCACCTCAATCATTTATCCTTTATGTTACATATAATCCAATTATACTCTTTTAGTTATTTTAAAATATACAATTAATTTTTTTTACTATAGTCACCCTGTTGTGCTAGCAAATACTAGGTCTTATCTATTCTTTCTCTTTTGTACCCATTAACTATCCGCACTTCCCCCCACTACCCTTCCCAGCCTCTGGTAACCATCATTCTACTCTGTATCTCCATCAGTTCAATTGCTTTAATTTTTAGCTCCCACAAATAAATGAGAACAGGCAAAGTTTGTCTTTATGTGCCTGACTTATTTCACTTAACATAATGACCTCCAATTCCATCCATGTTGTTGCAAATGACAGGATCTCATTTTTCATGGCTGAATACTACTCCATTGTGTATCTACATGAATGGATAAATTTTCTCTATCCACTCATCTGTTGATGGACACTTAGGTTGCTTCCAAATCTTGGCTATTGTGAATAGTGCTGCAGTAAATAGGATTATTTTCTTTATCTTTGTTTTTCTGTAATTTGAAAATGATATGCCTTGGTGTAGTTTTTTGTTTGTTTTGACATTCATTTGGTTTGGTGTTCTCTGAGCTTCCTGAATCTGTGGTTTGATATGTCACATTAATATGGAAAAATTCTCAATCATTATTGTTTTAAATATTTCTTCTTTTCCTTTCTCTCTTTCTTCTCTTTCTGTTCTTTTTTTCCCCCTAGACTTTTTAATTTATTTTTATTTTTGAGACAGGGTATTTGTTGCCCAGGCTGGAGTACGGTGGCATGATCTTGGCTTACTCCAGCCTCTACCTCCCGTGCTCAAGTGACCCTAACCTCAGCCTACCAAGTAACTGGGACTACAGGCCCATGCCACCATGCCTGGCTAATTTTGTTTATTTATTTATTTATTTATTTATTTATTTATTTATTTATTTGAGATGGAGTCTGGCTCTGTCGCCCAGGCTGGAGTGCAGTGGCGGGATCTTAGCTCACTGCAAGCTCCGCCTCCCGGGTTCATGCCATTCTCCTGCCTCAGCCTCCCGAGTAGCTGGGACTACAGGCGCCTGCCACCTCGCCCGGCTAGTTTTTTGTATTTTTTAGTAGAGACGGGGTTTCACCGTGTTAGCCAGGATGGTCTGGATCTCCTGACCTCGTGATCCGCCCGTCTTGGCCTCCCAAAGTGCTGGGATTACAGGCGTGAGCCACCGCGCCTGGCCTAATTTTGTTTATTTTTTATAGAGATGAGGTCTCACTATGTTGCCCAGGCTGGTTTCAGACTCTTGGGCTCAAGCAATCCTCCCACCTTGGTTTCCCAAAGTGCTGGGATTACAGGAGTGAGCCACTGTGCCTTGGTCTGGAGGTTTCTACCGATACATCTTCGAGATTAGAGATTCCTTCCTCAGCTGTGTCTAATCTCTTTATAAGCCCATTGATGGCATTCTTCATTTCTTTTACAGTGTTTTTTATCTGTAGCATGTCATTTTGGTTCTTTCTTAGGACTTCCATCTCTCTGTTTACATTGCCCATCTGTTCTTGCAGGCTACTTTATCCGTTAGAACCCTTAGCATATTAATCATAGTTGTTTTAAATTCCCTGTCTGATCATTCCAACATCCCTGCCATGTCTGGTTCTGATGCTTGCTCTGTCTCTTTAAACTACGGTTTTTGCTTTTTTAATATGCCTTCTAAATTTTTCTTGATATACTAGGTAAAAGAAACTATAGTACATAGGCCTTTAATAATGTAATGGTAAGGTATAGTGGGAGAAGCATTCTATCATCTTATGATTATGTCTCAGTCTCTTGGTGAGCCTGCGTCCCTATACTTTGAACTTCACCAGTGCTTCTCAGTCCTCTCCCCCTGTCCCTTAGGCCAGGCAGGATGGTTAGAGGTGACTGGAGTTGGGCATTTCCCTTCCCTAGGTAGGTTAGGTTCTGATAAAACCCCAGCAGGTTAGGGTCTGATAAAAGCCCAATAGGTTAGGCTCTGGTAAAGTAGTTTCTCTTGAGAGCAGGTCTTGTTAAGAACACAATACCTTGGAATATTTCAAAATGGTTCCTTTTCTCCCTCCCCCGACTAGAAGTATGAGGGGATTTTTCTTCAATATTCACCGTAAGGACCTGATAAAACTCCTAGAGGTAAAACACATGAAAGCATGGGGCCCCACTATGATGGATCCTTCTAGAGTTTTTAACTCTCATACTTGTCCACACGGAGCTTCTAGCAATTGTGAATTAATGTTAAGGTTTTCTTATTCCAGTAATGATTCCTTAGAAAGTTTCTGCTTGTGAGTTTCTGCTCTACTAAGTTATGACTCTCTGAATCCACTTGTCTCTCCAATTTTGAGGGTATCAGTTTGCCCATTACCTCCCTTATCTGACAAACTTAAGGGCTGTTGATTTATTTAGGGTTGGTTCAGCTTTTTACTTGTTGTTAGGATGAAGTGGTGACTTCTAAGCTCCTTAAATCCTGGACCAGAAACTGGAAGACTAAACAATAATTTTAAATAAATAGATTTGGATCAAATTTTATAGACTATCAAGGCTATAATATCAAGCTCCAACTATGAAGGCAGGACACTGGATGTTTCTGATGGCAGAGATTTAATGAAAACAGTGCTTCACTGAGGAAATATCTTTTAAACTGAGAAATGATTAGGAGTTAGCTAGATCCTGGTAAGGGAGGAATTGTTTGGGAGAAGGAAGGTGTCAGAGAACAGGAATAGTCCAGGGTGACCAGATAATTCATCATCCATATCAGGGAGACTTGAAAGTGAAAGGGCACTATTAATAATTATGCTAGCACATAATTATTTAAACTATGTTTTTTTTTGCTTTTTTAATATGCCTTCTAAATTTTTCTTGATAGCTGAACTTGATGTACTAGGTAAAAGAAACTATAGTAAATAGGCCTTTAATAATGTAATGGTAAGGTATAGGGGGAGAAGTACTTGACCAGTACTTTCCCGGGTAACCTGCGGCGTGTGATTATGCTACATTTGGGGAGCTACAAGAAAGCCAGAATGAGGAGAACAAGGTATGCATGGTTTTACTGGGAGGTAGGTGAAGAAGGTAGTTGTAGCTGGTGCTTCAAGTTAAGTTGGAGCCAGTAGATCCTGTCACTGTTCCTCATAATCAGATGGCCTTGAGAAGCCATTGAACAAGGAGATGAAAAGATCAGATTTATGTTTTGAAAAACTGGGTTGGATAAGGGCAAAACAAGATGGGGATAGCAGTTGGGAGATGATTATGGCTTGGATTAGGATGGTAGTGGTGGTAGAGATGGGTTCTAGAGATTTTTAGACTTGGTGATGGGCTGGTTATGGAGAAGGAAATAAGAGGGAGATGCCAAAGAGTCTTCCAGGTTTGTGGTCTGCACAACTGGCTGGATCATCATATCTCTCACTGATTTAGGAAGCAATAAAAGAGAACCAGGTTTGGAGGGAAGGATAATAGTTCAATTTTGAATATATTAAGTTTGAGGGGATGTGTGAAGATGCTTTACGAGATGTCAAAGATATAGATCTGCAAATCAGAAGAAATCAGATCTAGAGACATAATCCTTGGAGTCATCAAGTTGTATATGGTAAGCATAGCCACTAAGAAAAGAAAACAGCCCAAGATTGAGCCTTAAAGTTCATTTGGATAGTAGGACAATGAGAAGGTTCCAAAGGAGACTGCCAAGGAGTAACCAGTAAAACTGGACAAAAATTGGGAGTGTGATATCACAAAAGCCAAGAGAAGAAATTATTTTAAATAGGAAGAAGTGGTCAATGGTGTAAAATACTATTGAGAAATAAGTAAGATGAGAAATGAAAAATGCCAGTTGGACTCTAGTGAGAATTCATTCACTATCATGAGAACAGCGTGGGGGAACTGCCCTCATGATCCAGTTACCTCTCTCCCTTGACTTGTGGGGATTACAATTCGAGATGAGATTTGGGTGGGGACACAGAGCCAAACCATATCACATGGTAAAGGTATGAATTGCTCTTATGCTTTGGGAGAATAATTTGGTAATATCTATTACCAGTAATAATGATACTGTTGATGATTATACAGTTTAACCCAGCAACTCCCATTTTTGGGATTTTTTTTTTTCTTTTTTTTTTTTTGAGATGGAGTCTTGCTCTGTTGCCTAGGCTGGAGTGCAATGGCATGATCTCTGCTCACTACAACCTCTTCCTCCCAGGCTCAAGCGATTCTCCTGCCTCAGCCTTCCAAGTAACTAGGACTAGAGGCATACGCCACCATGCCCAGTTAAATTTTTTTTTTGTATTTTTAGTAGACCCCGGTTTCACCATGTTGGCCAGGCTGGTCTCAAACTCCTGACCTCAGGTGATCCACCCGCCTCAGCTTTCCAAAGTGCTGGGATTACAGGCAAGAGCCACCGCACCCGGCCCATTTTTGGGAATCTACCCAAATAATAAATATCTATGTGCACTGGAAAAAAATAAAAGAAAAATGCCCATTGGATTTAGTGACATAGAGGCCTTTGTGAACATATATATATATGAATTTCAAAGGATCTTATCTTCAACTAAAAAACATGAGTAAAATGGAAAATAAACAAGAAATAATTTACCATAAGACTATTTTACACATTTACTTAAATTTTCAAATATTTAACATTTTATTTTATTTTATTCAAATATTTAATATTTTAAATGTTACTCATTCTTCTTTGCTTATAAAGAAATACAGATTTTAAAAAATTTTTGTTTTTTGTTTCTAAGTATGGATTTTTAGCGGTCGGGATTTTTAATCCCGAGTTAAAGGAATATAGGGTTGTCTAAATGTTTTTTTAGTACTTACTTTGGAGATTTTATACCATACAATACTAAGCTCTGTGGATAGATATCAATAAGGCATTTAGGTTTTTTTTTAGGAATGTTATTGCTCTGATCACTGAAGTAATTGTCCATCCATTCTAGGTCCAACACCTCTACACCTTGCCGCACAGGCTTGCTCATTAGAAACAACAGTCTGTCTACTGTGTTCCAAAGCTGATTACACGCTTTCTGAAAAAAGAGGCTGGATGCCAATTCATTTTGCTGCTTTCTATGACAACGTTTGCATCATTATTGCTCTCTGTAGGAAGGATCCTAGTTTGCTAGAAGCTGAGGCAACAGCTGAGTAAGTCACTAAGCATTTATATCAGGTTGAGGTTGATGTCTAGGCAATAATAAAAAAACAAGAAGAAAGAAAATTAAATAGAATATAAATTTCTGCTTTTCATGGTTTGCCACACACACTGCCATTAAAAGGCGATAGGCATGGGTGATTTGAAAGGTATGTGAGGCTTACTTTGCTGTCCTTTCTACTCACTGTCTCCTTCTACCATTTATCATTAGAATTTCTAAAGACAAGAGCTTCTATTAACCTATGCATGTTTTCTGGAAGAATAAAGACTAATCCCTGGGGAGTTTTTCCTAACCTTGTTCCAGTAATATGGTTCTGCAGATTAATTTTTCATGTTAAATGCTTTGCTTAGTGCCCTGGAAGAAGCCTGAGACTAGGGAGGAGAGAGTTGCTCTAAACTGGATCCTACACAACCAGGAGGCAGCCCTAGGACTTCGGATCAAAGGGGACAGGCTTTGGATTACAGGAGAAATATTTAGTGATATCTGGAAGAGAAATACATTAAAAAGAATAAAATAACTTTGAAATTAAAAAATCCCAACACTGTTTTGTTTTACAGTTTAGCTGCGGATCAGCATTTAGGGTAAAGGTGTAACTTCTCCTAAAGGTACATTCTTGGCTAGAAATCTAAAGACAAGGTCATTACTTTGGATCTCTGAGCCTGATTTAGGCATAGGTTCATTCAGGTTTTTCTAGGTCTTCGAGTAACCTTTCCACTATTATTCAGTGGTTTAGGGCTAGTATAACGGCTTGACAGTATAAGAGACATCAGCTTCCTCTTGTTGCTCTGAACATGTGGAAGCCACCAGAGGAAGCTGGTGTCCCTCAGATGGCAACTCCTGCTTTCACCATCATGTCTGGCCATGAGAAGAAAGAAGAGGCCAGGTGCGGTGGCTCATGCCTGTAATTCCAGCACTTAGGGAGGCCAAGGCAGGCAGATCACTTGAGGTCAGGAGTTTGAGTCCAGTCTGGGCAAAACCCCGTCTCTACTAAAAATACAAAAATTAACCGGGTATGGTGGTCCATGCCTGTAATCCTAGCTACTCTGGAGGCTGAGGCATGAGAATCACTTGAACCAGAGAGGCAGAGGCTGCAGTGAGCTGATGTCGCACCACTGCACTACAGCCTGGGCAACATAGTGAGACTCTATCTCAACAACAACAAAAAAGAAGCAGCAGCATCTGGGAAATGTAATATTGCACTGGATAGCCAAACAAAGTATTTTCACTATCTAAAAATCAGATAATGGGTTTTCGAGCAAAACTGTTAGTTTCTGCCACAATGAGGAAGCTGGGATTTGAAAACTGGACATGAAGCAATGGTTGTAATTAATTCCTGAGCCTCAGTTACATCATTTGTAAAATGGGCTGATGATATTTGCCTTGCTTTTTCCTTCACTTACAGAGTAGTTGTGAGGCTTAAATAGGACAGTATATTGTAAGAACTTTGTGCATTATCATCCTCCAAACAAATTATAAGGCATGATAATTAAGTTGGGTGGGTAGGGAGCCATAGTAAGGATGGCATGGCAAGGGAGGCAAATCAATTCACATGTACAATACAGAAGATGAGAATTCCTAAGAACAAAAGGTGGTGGTGTAAGTCAGACTGCCTCCAATTGCAACTTGAATAGTTTTACAAAAAGTAAATTTGACACTCTATGTGTGTTTAATTGTTATGTTTCTTAATTTTTAGGAATCAGTGCACTCCACTGTTACTTGCTGCCACTTCAGGAGCACTGGACACTATTCAGTACCTATTTTCTATTGGTGCTAACTGGAGAAAAACAGATACTAAAGGAAATAATATAATCCATTTATCAGTGTTAACCTTTCATACAGAGGTTCTCAAATATATAATAAAATTAAATATTCCTGAACTCCCAGTGTGGAAAACTTTGGTAGGTGAGTATAGAGTATAATCTCTTTATAAATACATGTTCTGATTATTATTCAGTTTAATTATTGATACTCTGAGAGAAAACAAAATAATACGTGCATTATATTTTAAATATTTAAAAATCATGAAATAAACGTTTTATTAAGACCAGAAATAAAAATACAAATAATAAAGAGCTGCATTTTTGTGTATGCAAACGTAGTTTTGTTTCCAAGTTAAAATCAAAGATCTGTGACTTTGATTTTATGCATTATATTTATTTTTATTTTCCAACTTTTTCCAGAAGTTCGAACATCTTCTTCATTAAAAAAAAAAAAAAGGAAAGAGGAAATTTTAAGTGAAAAATATTCCCTCCAACTTATTCCTTGCCTCCTAATTTTAGAGACAAATTTGGCAAAATCTTTTGTTATATTTTGACGAATGTTTTGTGAAAAATTCTGCTGGAGATTTTGTTTTCGTTTTTTTTTTTTTTTTTCAAATTTGCATTCAGTCTAGCCAAAATAAGGGTAAGGGTCACTAGGTCAATTATATGGACATATCTAATTTTACTCCCTTTCAAGACCCCCCCTAAAATTACATGGAGATTAAGCAATACTAATAATACCACCAGCAGCAGACAAGCATTCAAGGGAAAACAAGAAAGGATGCAACAGCAATAAAATATTGGAAGATGGAAACAGAAAGGCAAGACTTAGGACTTAGCCAGCCAGAGAAAATCATTCCAAGTCAACAGTGGGAAAGCTGAGAACCTCTTGGACTCACACCATAAATCCTCAAAAGGCTTGAGAACTGGTAGTACCCGTTAGGAGTGCTCTCCTCAGAGCCTAACTAGGAAAGACCTAAAGATGCCAAGGCTAGAATTCTCCCTAAGAAATAGAAAGGAGAGGGACCTGGGAAACTGGGAACCTTACCCAAGCGTAAAGCATAGGGAATTTCAAGGAAGACAGCAAGGGGAAGTTCCAGAATGGAACTGTGCATCCAGTCTAGAGGAAAAAGATGGGAGGAATTATCAGTAGGTACAAGGAAAACTAAGCAGATGAAATACAGCAGTCTCCCCTTCTCAGCAGTTTTTCTTTTTTGGTTTCGGTTACCTGCAGTATAGGACAATAAGATATTTTGAGAGAGAGGGATAGAGCACATTCACATAACTTCTGTTATTGTATATTGTTGTAATCTATTGTTAGTTATTGTTAAGCTATTACTATGCCTACATACTTTATTATAGATATGTATGTTCAGACAGTCTGGTTTGACTTACGGTTTTTGACTTTATAATTGTGCAAAAGTGATACACATTCAGAAGAAATTGTACTTGCAGTCCTCATACAACCATTCTGTTTTTCACTTTTAGTACAGTATTCAATAAATTACATGAGTTATTAAACACTCTATTATAAAATTGGCTTTGTGTTAGATCATTTTGCCAAGTTGTAGGCTAATTTAAGTATTCCAAGCACATTTAAGTTAAGCTAGGCTAAACTATGCTGTTTGGCAGATTAGGTTTATAAATGCTTTTCAATTTATAATATTTTCAACTTACAATGGGTTTATCAGGACATAACTACATCATAAGTTGAGAAGCATCTGTCTGGGAAAAAACATAGTATATACAGGGTTCAGTACTATCCTCAGTTTCAGGCATCCACTGGGGGTTTTGGAATGTATCCTCTGCAGATAAGGGGGGGACTATTGTAAAATAAGGAAATTATTAGGCCAAGGCAGGTGGATCACGAGGTCAAGAGATAGAGACCATCCTGGCCAACATGGTGAAAACCTGTCTCTGCTAAAAATACAAAAATTAGCTGGGTGTGGTGGCACGAGCTTGTAGGCCTAGCTCCTCGGGAGGCTGAGGCAGGAGAATCACTTGAACCTGGAAGGCAAAGGTTACAGTGAACCGAGACTGTGCCACTACAGTCCATCCTAGTGATAGAGTGAGACTTTGTCTCAAAATAAATAAATATATAAAATAAATAAATAAATAAAATAAGGAAATTATTACCTGTTTTAAAAAAAAGGAGACACAACCATAGTACATTACAGTGTTCAGCTGTGAATAATAATTGTATAGACATCATGTAAACACTTAACATTGATTTAACTAAAAGCTATAAATATGGAGAAAGGGAAGAGGAAAGAGCAATGTTGAAAGAGGTAATTTCCTATTTTTCATAACATGAAGTCAATGAAGTCTAAATCAATGTAGCAAAACACAGCAATGTGTATAAATATGTAGAAATAAGGAGATTTATAAATCATAGAGGGTTATAGGGAAGAGTCTAAACCGATTGTATATGGAGTGATGAACACAGAAAAGTTGGGAGGGTGGGGCCAGGAACCACTAAGTTTTGTTATAGGCCATTTAGTAACATTTAACTCTGAATCATGCACATGCATCACTTTGATAAAAAACTAAAGCCAAATAAGAGAAATGAATTGGAGAATGAGAACTGATTTTTTTCCAACAACTCATTTTAGGATAGGATAAAATATGTTTTTAAGATTTTCAACCCCATTCTACTGATTCAAGAAGTCTGGCTCAATACCTGACGTTGGAATTTACTAGGTACTGGGAACATATCCCAAATACTGGATATGAGCCCCAAGAGATATTGGAAAGTGTTTTCAATGCTTATTTGTGTGCATTTGTATCATTTCGTAGTCTTGTTAGGAGGAAGTGAGAGGATCATCCTGTTACTTTTACTAGACTAAATGATTATAAAAACCTACCTTAATAGTAGGAAGCTCTGCCCCCTAACAGGAATGGCCTAAAAGCACATAAAAATTCACCAGGGCTGCTGCTTCCTACAGCCATTGTGGGGGAAGTCCTGACAATGACACAAACAGAACAAATAACAGTGAGCATCTGGCCACTGCTGTTTTGCCTTGGGCCCTACAATAGCTCTCCCTCCTCACACTACCCATTTCCACTATGTGTAAAAGAAAAATCAGTTTATTAAAGGTCTCAGGATGAGTTCTTGGAGTAGAAGCTGAATTTTAAAAGAGACTGCCATGGAATGGTAGAGCCAAGCTAGATTTAGGACAGATTTGGTAATAGAGTGGCTCGCTAAAGATATGAGGAAAAGATTGTGTGTTTTTTCCTAGCACAATAGACATGTATATTTGTAATATCTTCTGTCTGTAGTACAAGTTCATCCAAGATTTTATTTAAAGTATCTTTTTTATACTCAGGAAATGTATAAAGCCTCATACCTAATTTAATGGATATTAAATTTTTATTGACAATACTGTGGATTACTTTGCTATTCTTGAAAACCCACATTCAAATTTTATTTAACAACTAATTTTAGCCAAGAGAGATGTATTATTTTCCAAGGGAATTTGAAGTATGTGACCACCCAATCTAAGTCACTCAGACCAAAGATTAAAAATTTCCGCCAGGCATAGTAGCTCATGCCTGTAATCCTAGCACTTTGGGAGGCCAAGGCAAGTGGATTGCTTGAACCCAAGAGTTTGAGACCAGCCTGGGCCACATGGCAAAATGCTGTCTCTGCAAAAAATACAAAAATTAGCTGGGTGTGGTGATGCACGCCTGTAGTCTCAGCTACTAGGGAGGCTGAGATGGTAGATCACCTGAGCCCAGGGAGATTCAGGCTGCAGTGAGCTGTGATCATGCCATTGCACTCCAGCCTGGGCAACAAACTGAGACCCCATCTGAAGAAAAGAAATTTCAGGATTTTTTCACTTATTATATAGACTATAAACCTCAAAGATCATGGCCTGATGGAATTTGTCACTACTTCACAGGGAGCTGTGCACAGAGGGGAATTTAATGCATGCAGTTGGTGGTAATAGTGGTGACCTCAACCCTTGGTTTTACTTAGCTGGTACAAAAAACAGAATCAAGCATTTCATTGCCTTTTGTATAAATTACAGCTGTGTTTTTCTGTTGAACACTTTAAACAGAAATGTTACAGTCTGAAAGCTATAAACGAAGGATGATGGCTGTCATGTCCTTGGAAGTAATTTGCTTAGCAAATGATCAATACTGGAGATGTATTTTGGATGCAGGTGATGCAAACTCTATTAACTATCTTTTTTTAATGCTATTTTATGTAGAGCTATATTTTATTCATCAGTCATTTTTAAATATATTTTTGATTGTAAAGGAAAAATTTTAGTAGATTTTAGGTTTCTTTTGCTAAGATCACTTCATTTACCTGTCAGCCATATATTTTATTTCCACATGGAAGCTGCGCAGGATCAAAAAACTATATCAATTCTATTTGTCTAAAAGCTCAAAAAATTAAAAACTGATGTTAAGTATTAATTTAACTTTTAAATTACTTTACCACACTACTTTTATATTTACTTTCATTTAGAAATTATTCCTATTCTATACTTTGCACAATTTACTTTTGAAATTAAAAATAGCAGATTTAGTGTCAGGTCTGGTGTGTAACTAGCTCTGCATTTAGAACTTAAGATAATTGCTTAACCTCTCTTAGTTTAGTTTACTCACTAATAAAATGGCTCTACTGGGGTCCGTTCCAAGATGGCCAAATAGGAACAGCTCCGGTCTGTAGCTCCCAGCGTGACTGGCACAGAAGACAGGTGATTTCTGCATTTCCAACTGAGGTACCTGGTTCATTCCACTGGGACTGGCTGGACAGTGGGTGCCAGCCATGGAGGGCAAGCCGAAGCTGGGCAGACATCGCCTCACCCGGGAAGCACAAGGGGTTGAGGGATTTCCGTTTCCTAGCCAAGGGAAGCTGTGACAGACTGTACCTGAGAAAATGGGGCCCTCACGCCCAAATACTGTGCTTTTCCAACGATCTTAGCAAGCAGCACACCAGGAGATTATATCCCACGCCTGGGTCGGCAGGTCCCACACCCACGGAGCCTTGCTCACTGCTAGCGCAGCAGTCTGAGATGGACCTGCAAGGCAGCAGTCTGGCAGGGGGAGGGGCATCCGCCATTGCTGAGGCTTTAGTAGGTAAACAAAGCAGCCGGGAAGCTCAAACTGGGTAGAGCCCACTGCAGCTCACCAAGGCCTGCTGCCTCTGTAGACCCCACCTTTGGGGGCAGGGCATAGCTAAACAAAAGGCAGCAGAAACTTCTGCAGACTTAAACGTCCCTGTCTGACAGCTCTGAAGAAAGCAGTGGTTCTCCCAGAATGGTGTTTGAGCTCTGAGAATGGACAGATTGCCACCTCAAGTGGGTCCCTGACCCCCTTGTAGCCTAACTGAGAGACACCTCCCAGTAGGGACCGACTGACACCTCATACAGGCGGGTGCCCCTCAGGGACGAAGCTTCCAGAGGAATGATCAGGCAGCAATGTTTGCTGTTCTGCAGTTTTTGCTGTTCTGCAGCCACTGCTGGTGATATCCAGGCAAACAGGGTCTGGAGTGGACCTCCAGCAAACTCCAACAGACCTGCGCTGAGGGACCTGACTGTTAGAAGGAAAACTAACAAACAGAAAGGAATAGCATCAACATCAACAAAAAGGACATCTACACCAAAACCCCATCTATAGGTCACCAACATCAAAGACCAAAGGTAGATAAAACCACAAAGATGGGGAGAAACCAGAACAGAAAAGCTTAAAATTCTAAAAACCAGAGTGCTTCTTCTCCTGCAAATGATTACAGATCCTCACCAGCAATGGAACAGAGCTGGACAGAGAATGACTTTGATCAGTTGACAGAAGTAGGCTTCAGAATGTCGGTAATAACAAACTTCTCTGAGCTAAAGGAGGAGGTTCAAACCCATCGCAGGGAAGGTAAAAATCTTGAAAAAAGATTAAATGAATGGCTAACTAGAATAAACAGTGTAGAGAAGACCTTAAATGACCTGATGGAGCTGAAAACCATGGCACAAGAAATACATGACACATGCACAAGCTTCAATAACTGATTCAATCAAGTGGAAAAAAGGGCATCAGTGACTGAGGATCAAATTAATGAAATAAAGCAAGAAGAGAAGTTTAAAGAAAAAAGAGTGAAAAGAAACAAACAAAGCCTCTAAGAAATATGGGACTATGTGAAAAGACCAAATCTACGTCTGATTGGTGTACCTGAAAGTGAAGAGGAGAATGGAACCAAGTTGGAAAACACTCTTCAGGATATTATCCAGGAGAACTCCCCCAACTTAGCAAGGAAGGCCAACATTCAATTCAGGAAATACAGAGAACACCACAAAGATACTCCTCGAAAAGACCAACCCCAAGACACATAATTGTCAGATTCACCAAGGTTGAAATGAAGGAAAAAATGTTAAGGGCAGCTACACAGAAAGGTCAGGTTACCCAGAAAGGGAAGACCATCAGACTAACAGCGGATCTTTCGGCAGAAACTCTACAAGCCAGAAGAAAGTGGGGGCCAATATTGAACATTCTTAAAGAAGAGAATTTTCAACCCAGAATTTCATATCCAGCCAAACTAAGCTTCATAAGTGAAGGAGAAATAAAATCCTTTACAGACAAGCAAATGCTGAGAGATTTTGTCACCACCAGGCCTGCCTTACAAGAGCTCCTGAAGGAAGTACTAAACATGGAAAGGAACGCCCAGTACCAGCCAATACAAAAACATGCCAAATTGTGAAGACCATTGATGCTAGGAGGAAACTGCATCAACTAACAGGCAAAATAACCAGCTAACATCATAATGACAGGATAAAATTCACACATAACAATATTAACTTTAAATGTAAATGGGCTAAATGCCCCAATTAAAAGACAAAGACTGGCAAATTGGATAAAGAGTCAAGATCCATCCATGTGCTGTACGCAGGAGACCCATCTCATGTGCAGAGACACACATAGGCTCAAAATAAAGGGATGGAGGAAGATCTACCAAGCAAGTGGAAAGCAAAATAAAGCAGGAGTTGCAATTCTAGTCTCTGATAAAACAGACTTTAAATCAACAAAGATCAAAAGAGACAAAGAAGGCCATTACATAATCGTAAAGGGATCAATTCAACAAGAATAGCTAACTATTCTAAATATATATGCACCCGTATACAGGAGCAACCAGATTCATAAAACAAGTCCTTAGAGGCCTACAAAGAGACTTAGATTCCCACACAATAATAATGGGAGAATTTAACACCACACTGTCAATATTAGACAGATCAATGAGACAGAAGGTTAACAAGGATATTGAGGACTTGAACTCAGCTCTGCACCAAGTGGACCTAATAAATATCTACAGAACTCTCCATCCCAAAGCAACAGAATATACATTCTTCTGAGCACCACACTGTACTTGTTCCAAAATTGACCACATAGTTGGAAGTAAAGCACTCCTTAGCAAATGTAAAAGAACAGAAATCACAACAAACTGTCTCTCAGACCACAGTGCAATCAAACTAGAACTCAGGATTAAGAAACTCACTCAAGCCAGGCACGGTGGCTCACGCCTGTAATCCCAGCACTTTGGGAGGCCGAGGTGGACGGATCACAAGGTCAGGAGATCGAGACCATGGTGAAACCCTGTCTCTACTAAAAATACAAAAAATTAGCTGGGCGCGGTTGTGGGCGCCTGTAGTCCCAGCTACTCGGGAGGCTGAGGCAGGAGAATGGCGTGAACCCGGGAGGCAGAGCTTGCAGTGAGCCGAGATCGCGCCACTGCACTCCAGCCTGGGCGACAGAGCGAGACTCCGTCTCAAAAAAAAAAAAAAGAAACTCACTCAAAACTGCACAACTACATGGAAACTGACCAACCTGCTCCTGAATGACTACTGGGTAAATAACAAAATGAAGGCAGAAATAAAGATGTTCTTTGAAACCAATGAGAACAAAGACACAATGTACCAGAATCTCTGGGACAGATTTAAAGCAGTGTGTAGAGGGAAATTTATAGCACTAAATGCCCACAAGAGAAAGCAGGAATTGGTCGGGCGCAGTGGCTTACGCCTGTAATTCCAGCACTTTGGGAGGCTGAGGTGGGCAGATTGCAACCATCCTGACTAACATGGTGAAACCCCATCTCTACTAAAAATACAAAAAAATTAGCCAGACTTGGTGGTGGGCACCTGTAATCCCAGCTACTTGGGAGGCTGAGACAGGACAATGGCGTGAACCCCAGAGGTGGTGTTTGCAGTGAGCCGAGATTGCACCACTGCACTCCAGCTTGGGCTACAGAGCGAGACTCCATCTCAAAAAAAAAAAAAAAAAAAAGAAAAAGAGAAAGCAGGAACGATCTAAAATCAACACCTAACATCACTATTAAAAGAACTAGAGGAGCAAGAGCAAATAAATTCAAAAGCTAGCAGAAGGCAAGAAATAACGAAGATCAGAGCAGAACTAAAGGAGATAGAGACACCAAAAACCCTTCAAAAATTCAGTGAATCCAAGGAACTTGTTTGTTGAAAAGATCAACAAATCTGATAGACCGCTAGCAAGACTAGTAAAGAAGAAAAGAGAGAAGAATCACATAGATGCAATAAAAAATGATAAAGGGGATATCACCACCAACCCCACAGAAATACAGACTACCATCAGAGAATACTATAAACACCTCTACACAAATAAACTAGAAAATCTAGAAGAAATGGATAAATTCCTGGACACATACACCCTCCCAAGACTAAACAAGAAATAAGTTGAATCTCTGAATACACCAATAACAGGTTCTGAAATTGAGGGAATAATTAATAGCCTACCAACCAAAAAAAGTCAAGGACCAGACGGATTCATAGCCGAATTCTACCAGAGATACAAAGAGGAGCTGGTACCATTCCTTCTGAAACTATTCCAATCAACAGAAAAAGAGAGAATCCTCCCTAACTCATTTTATGAAGCCAGCATCATCCTGATACCAAAGCCTGGCAGAGACACAACAAAAAAAGATAATTTTAGATCACTATCCCTGATGAACATCGATGCGAAAATCCTCAGTAAAACACTGACAAACTAAATCCAGCAGCACATCAAAAAGCTTTTCCACCATGATCAAGTCGGGCTTCATCCCTGGGATGCAAGGCTGGTTCAACATCTATATATCAATAAATGTAATCCATCACATAAACAGAACCAATGACAAAAACTACGTGATTATGTCAATAGATGCAGAAAAGGTCTTTGACAAAATTCAACAGCCCTTCATGCTAAAAACGCTCAATAAACTAGGTATTGATGAAATGTATCTCAAAATAATAAGAGCTATTTACAACAAACCCACAACCAATATCATACTGAATTGGCAAAAACTGGAAGCATTCCCTTTGAAAACTGGCACAAGACAGGAATGCCCCCTCTCACCACTCCTATTCAACATAGTGTTGGAAGTTCTGGCCAGGGCAATCAGGCAAGAGAAACAAATAAAGGATATTCAATTAGGAAAAGAGGAAGTCAAATTGTCCCTATTTGCAGATGACATGACTGTAGATTTAGAAAACCCCATTATCTCAGCCCAAAATCTCC